CAGGGACACAAAGCCCGACTGTTGTAAAAATATTAGTATTCAGATGCTCTTGTGTTTTGTTAATGCATTTAATTATGTACAATATAGCTTTTGTTTTCCTTTCACATTTGCATTAATTTATATTAGCCAGAGAATATAAAGCACAGCTACAAAATCAGGCTTTTTAACTGTTTCTGTTGCTCTTGCAACCTGCGAATAAGCGTTGCATCCTTGCAAAAGCTAAGGCTTTGTACTGACCACAGTATTCTTCGTGTTGCTCTTTCAAACACTGCAATACAGTGATGTATTTGATAAATATGTAATAAATATTAGGGTTCTTATGTGCTTGAATTTAACCAGTTGTTATGAAAGACTCCTCCCCACCTGGATTGGGTGACCTATTTCTAAGGCATATAGCACAATGGGCGTAGATATGCGCCCTGTCAGGAGCTTGAATAGGACCACAGTGATCCTGGGTCCGTTCTGTTGGCCTTACACTTTGTTGCTGGCAGACATTTGTAATGTATGTTGGGAGTAAGTTACTCTGCTGAGGAAATTTAAGTCAATGTATTGACTGTACAAGAAACGTCATGTATAGGGCAGTTTCTGACCCATATGATTTTGATAAAAGAGTCTGGAATCCTTTTCCTTTTGTTGTATATATTTGTGGAAGTATGTGTTGCGGATGTGTGTGTGTATGTATGTGTGTGTGTGTATATATATATATATATACACACACACACATCCACAAATACACATAACAAAAGGAAAATGACCCACCTCACCCCTCACGTGCAGCCTGGCATCCAACCCTCCACACAGTCCCCAAATCCAACCCTGGTATAGAAGGAGTCCGCATTCCCATACGTTCTTAGACAATTCAAAGAAAGGCAGATTGTTTCAATCTGTGAAAGAAACCTTGGGAAATACATTGAGAAATAAAGAAAGGAGCTATGCATTAGAGTCAAAGTCCTCATGAAAGTCTAAAGCTAGAAGGTGCCTTTTCACATGCACTGTTCTATTTAAGTTGTCACCAAGATCGGTGACCTGGGAGGATGGCAGGCTGTCATCCTGCCTTAGTCAATAGATCTACTAATACAAAAGGGGATTAAATGTTATTTAAGTTTTTACAAGAATTGCTGATTAGGAAGCAGAAGACTTGGGTTCCAATTCTAGCAGTGCTCTGCTCCTGTGCGTGCATGTGTGTTCATGTGTGTGTGCACGTGCGTGTGTGCAGATGAGAGGGGAGCCACCAAGCCTCATCAAGTGCAAGTTTAACTACTGTGAAAAAATATGTCTGGTCTACTGGCCCCAAAGAGCTGTTGTTAAGAGGAAATGAAATAATCTATCTGAGAGCAGTTCCTGCGGACTTATTTTCCCAGTTGCCAATACCAAGATTTTAACGATTTAAAATACTGGAGAATACTTTCGTAGGAGATAAAATTCTTCAAGACATTTAGTTTAACAACTCAACATCCCCAAAATAAGTGTCCCCTCAATCCAAATAAATAAGAAATATCCTTAAAGCATGGCTTAGTGTGAAACCAAACCCCATGAGAAGAGTCTTTTCTCACGAGTGTGTGTGTGACTTTCCCAGCGTTTAGTAACAGTGCAGAAGGGTCCACACAGCAGGACTGAGATAGATTGTCTGTCCTTTGAAAGGTCTGCTTGTGAGGTTGGCCCTTGGATGTAGTCTGGGGACTTGGATTTCAGGAGCATCCCCACCATTCCCTAACCAAGAAGCATGGCTCCCTGTGTCTAAACTGTTGTACAAACCATGAGGTTCGTGCTGAAATCCTCTTTCCTTCTGGGGGTCTGGAATCTTGGTAGATGCCAGGCAGAGACTGCCTACATGACCAGCCCCCAATAAAAACCCTGGGGGAGGAGTCTCTACGGAGTGTCCCTGTATTAGTTTGCTTCTGTTGCTTACAACAGAAATATTTGAAACTGAGTAATTTATAAAGAAATAATATTTATTGCTTATAGTTTCAGAGGTTGGGAAATCCACAGTCCAGGGGACACATCTGGTGAAGGCCTTGGTGGTGGTGACAGTGACCCAGGGGTCTCATATGGCAGAAATGGAGGAGCAGAGAGAGAAAGGGTGCTCCTCTGCCCTCTTTTCAAAGCCCTCAGAACCACACCCACTACCACCATTAAACCATCAAGTTAATCACCTCTTCAAAGCCCCACGTTTCAATTACCATAATAGGATTTCCTACCCTTAACAGTTACAGTGGGAATCAAGCCTCTAATACATAAAATTTGGGGGACACAATTCAATCCATACCAGTCTCTAATGGACAGCATTTCCTGTGTGTGGGCACAGCCCTTGCCAAAGAAATTCTCCACATCTGAGTGACCCTACGAGGAGAGGGTCCCAAGCACCTCTGCCATGGCTGATTCTGCTGTGTTCTTCACTGTAGTAAATCATAGCCATGAGTAGGATTTTACATAAAGTCCTGTACATCCTCCAGCACATCATCGAAACTTGGGTTAGGGTGCTGTGGAGACCCCGACCCAGTCACAGAAAGGTGTCCTTTGAGGAACCCAATATAAAATAGATACTTGGTACCTGGCCTCAGTGGGTGTGCACATGCCCCTGGCTACGAGCTCACAGGGGCTGCAGTGTGGCCCGCCTCCGGCCATGCATTCCTGCTCCCCCCACCCCGACCCCCAGCTCCAGGCCCAGACACTCCTCTTGGCTCTGTGTTGGAGTCACACTGGCTGTGCCCATTCTCTGATGCTCGGGCCAAAAGCCCATGCACCCCTGCACCTGTGGCCTCCCTCGGCACAGGCCTCCCTGCCTCTCTGCCACTGCAGCTCCCCCAGCCCAAGCCCCTGCTTGCCTGCCAGCGGGCCCCCAGCCCTGCTCTTCCCTGAAATCCCTTCTCTTCCCTGAAGTCCCTTCTCAGCTGGCAGTGGGTCCCCACACTTCCTGCCCCCCGCCCCCTTCCAGGCACACAATGCTCCCATTTCCCCCCACCTGGACTTGGCACTGCGTGGAGCCTGCCCCCACCCAGGCCTGCTGGTGGGTCCTGCCTGCCTCTGTGCCAGGAGCCCCCAATGGCTCCCCAACCCCCTCATGGCCCAGACTCCCCTTCCATCCAGGTGTTACCTCTTCAGGTGCTCTCCTGACCTCCCTTAGCCTGCTCTGCTTTTCTTCTTATTATTACCTGATAGGAAATCACACATGGTGTGAGTCTCCTGTGGCTGCCAGAACAGATGAGCACACACTGGGTGGCTTAAAAGAAGAAGAATTTGTTCTGTCATGGTTGTGGAGGCCGGAAGTCCTAAGTCAGGATGTCAGCAGGGCTGCGCTGGCTCGAAGGCTCCAGGGGAGGATCTATCCCATGCCTCTTCCCTTCTGGTAGAGTCCCATGGCTTGTCGATGTTCCTCCAGTCTCTTCCCCGTGCATCTGTGACTCTGCCCAAATTTCCCTCTTCTTACAAGACCCAATCATCGCATTAGGGCCCACCTTAATACAGCATGACTCATTTTCACTTGATTCCATCTCCAAAGACCCTATTTCAAATAAGGTCACATTCAAATAGGTCTGGGAGTTAGGACATGACATATATATATAATTTGGGGGAACACTATTTGACCCTTAACATACATTTTCACCTGATTCACACACTAGAATGTAAGCTTCATGAGGACAAGGACCATATCTTATTAAACACTGTAACCCATACATCTAGAACAGTGCACGACACCTATCAGGTGCTCAATAAATAAGGGGTGGGTGGATGGATGGATGGGTAAATGGATGGATGGGTGGATGGATAGATGGATGCTGTTAGACGGATGGATGGATGGATAGGTAGATGGGTGGATGGATGGATGGATGGATGGATGGATAGGTGGATAGGTGGATGGATGGATAGGTGGATGGTTGGATGGGTGGATGGATGGATAGGTAGATGGGTGGATGGATGGATGGATGGATGGATAGGTGGATGGGTGGATGGATGGATAGGTGGATGGTTGGATGGGTGGATGGATGGATAGGTGGATGGTTGGATGGGTGGATGGATGGATAGGTGGATGGTTGGATGGGTGGATGGGTGGATGGATGGATGGATGGATAGGTAGATGGGTGGATGGATGAGTGGATAGATGGATAGATAGGTAGATGGATGAACAGATGGATGGATGGATGGATGGCTGAATGGATGGGTGGGTGGATGGTGTTACAGGAAAGTAAGAAAATCCACACTTTATGTAGATAAGAGTGTGGAGAGTAAACTAACTAAATGGTGTTCACTTAAACCTAACTTACTGTTACTTGAGAGCAAATGGATTTATTGTCATTTGTGAGAGAAATGCTGTATTTTTGGTGAAAAGCTAAGGGATGGTGGTATACAACATGAAATATCCCATTCCAACTTCAAATATTCTAATTGTTGCTGCATACAGAGGAGAAGCCATATCAAAATGTCTCGAATAAGCAATTCTCTAATGTGAGAAGCCTCTTGTGAAATCCGGGAAAGAAAGAATTCTAAACACCCCACTTCTTTAAGGCATGAATTGCAAAAGATGTGGGAAGTTCCATTTTTATCAAAAACACTTAAAACCCCTTTTGTCACATAAATGCTCCCAGCATGGTTAGATTGTTCACCGTGGCCTCTTGGGTACAAATATCCCATCAAGCTGCCTGCACTTCTGGGCTCTCCAAGCACAGTAGTTGCAGTGCTCAAGGGGACATTTTGATGTGATTGCCGTGTTTTCAGGTCACTTTATCAGGAAGCCCTGGTGCATTTTATCCAGGGTGCCAAATCTTGAGTAACTGAGGTAGTTCCCAGGGCCTTCTGTAAAACAGCTGCCACAAGGAAGCTCAATCCAGGTTAGCTTTTGCCAAAGGCAGGCTGAGGCTGCCCTGTGGCTTTATGGGCGCTGCTCATATTCTGTGGATTTTATAGGGACAGCTAATTCAAGACCCCTGGAAGAAAGCAGCTTTGTCCCATGCTCTGCTTTGCACAGGCCTGTATTCATATCTCATTGTTGTTTGCAGGAGAGGCAGATGCGAACCAGAACAATGGGACCTCCTCTAAGGACACGGCGGTGACAGACTCCAAGCGCACAGTGGACCCGAAGAATGCCTGGCAGGACGCCCACCCAGCTGACCCTGGGAGCCGCCCCCACTTGGTCCGCCTCTTTTCCCGAGATGCCCCGGGGAGGGAGGACAACACCTTCAAAGACAGGCCCTCCGAGTCGGATGAGCTCCAGACCATCCAAGAAGACAGCACAGCCACTTCCGAGGGCCTGGATGTGATGGCGTCACAGAAGAGACCCTCCCAGAGGCACGGATCCAAGTACCTGGCCTCCGCCAGTACCGTGGACCATGCCAGGCTCGGCTTCCTCCCCAGGCACAGAGACACGGGCATCCTCGACTCTCTGGGGCGCTTCTTTGGTGGTGACAGGGGGGTGCCCAAGCGGGGCTCCGGCAAGGTGAGCGCTGAGGAGTAGGGGAGTGTAGCTTCCATTCAGGAAAAGGGAAAGGGACGTGTTGCTCTTAGTGTCTAAGGTCTTGCTCCTGGCTGGAAAATGCTTACAGGCCCCGAGGAGTGGGCCCGGGTTACTGTTTAGGATGTTTTCGTTTAACTCGCCCTCTTTCTCCTGCTCACAAGGTGTTGTGATTGGGGTGTGGCTGAGAAATGCAAGGACACTCTGAACTCTGGACCTCCCAGTGCCCGGGTGTGGGCACTGCAGCAGCGCCACATCCTCGGGGTCTTGTGCCATATGCTTGGGGGCTTTGTGGCTGGCTTTGCCTCTGTGTCCCAGACTTTGAGGTTCAGCACTGGGTTATGCTCATTCTCTCCTGGAGTCTGTGCTGCTTCACGCTGCCCTGCAATAATGGTGTGATTGAAGTCCAGGAGGACTTGTGAACAGCTCCTGCCTTCACGCTCGCCTTGAGCAAAGTTTCTCCTTTGTCTGAGTTGTTTAGCAGAGAGGGGGGGTGGGGGGGATAAATCAGTGTCTGTGAATCAAGACTTTATTCTTTTGTGATTCCATTAATTTGCATGTAGAATCTTGGAAGTTTCATTATTTAAAAGCAAATGTTTCTGTGGATAAAAATGTATCACCAGAAACAAGCTCCTGTGTGATCCAGTTTCTAAGAGTGGCTTCTAGAGTTGATTGTGGATAGATAACCTGTGGCTGATGTCTCATTAAAAAGCAAATCCCCAGGTGGCATGCAGATTGCAGATGCAGCTTTTCCTCTGCCAGTACGCAGTGCTTCTTCTGAAAGCCCCTTGGGAATCTGAGGCATTTGAACAAGGTGTGGAACAGAGGCCCTCCTCATGATAATATACGATCATAAAAACCCCAAGGCAACTTGGAGTTAAGGAGTTTCTAAAATTTGCTTTAGTCTCCAACTACAATTCTTAAAATTGTTGATGATCGTGAAATTGTTGAAGATAATACAAATGTCAATTTTACCTTGTCAATGGGCATTAAAGCACATAGAAGTTTGAGGCAATAGTAATGTCTCTACCATCTGCTTCAAGCTGAGATTTCATGTTGTGATAACTGGCATGACTTATTTATAAATAACACTTGATGTATCTTAAGGCTTATGTAATTCATATCCTAAGGCAATAGTAATGTCTCTACCATCTGCTTCAAGCTGAGATTTCATGTTGTGATACCTGGCATGACTTATTTATAAATAACACTTGATGTATCTTAAGGCTTATGTAATTCATATCCTGGTTGGTTCCTTCAGCATCTGCATTTGCAAGAAGTAATCTTTTACTTTCTGGCAGTACTCCCTCACCCTGAAATGCCAGCCATCCAACCTATTTCCAATTCTAATGTCAATTGGAGCTGCTTTTTCAAGCACAGCTATCAAACCACACCAGTTTCAGTGGATGCTGGCTGCCTAATGATGTCCTGCTGTTATGCTAAGCCCCAATATGTATGCAGAGTCGCCAGTTTCGAAACCTTAAACTATTCTGCTTAACTCAAGGAACAGGGAAATGTATTTAAACTATGCAGAAAAAAATAGCTGAATAGAAGATACTATAAAACAAGCCTCATTTCTGTGGTAATGGTTTAAGTTGAAATCAAATTGTGAAAGCATTTATATCAATCATTGTGACTTTATCTCAAAGCAGATACGTGTACACATAGATATTTTTCTTCCGTTATGTAAGATTATAGGCTTTATTATTATAAATCTCTTCTACTGTTCAATATTTTCAAAGAAAAGATTCTAGTCTCAGAAGTAGCCAATCTGTTTGCAAAATAGTGTTGCTAGATTATCAAGGATCCACAAAAATCAAAACATTTTTACAGGATTTTAAAAAATAAAAACAATTTTTAACTAACTTTTTTAAAATTTGAAATATCCATTCTTTTCACTCCTAAGCATTGGATACAGAAGATTTTTAAGAGAAACAGCCTTGCCCTTTGATTTTTAAGAGAAACAGCCTTGCCCCCAAAATCAATTAGAGTTTGTACGTACAGCCATACAGCAGCTTACTACAAAGACAGGCTACAGGTCCATCACCGTGAAGTGCACTTGCTGAAAGCATGCACTGGGGTGACCGGCAGTATTGCTCTGACTCTAATTTATTGTACATTCTTTGTCTTTAAACACTGGAGATGCAAGATCAACTCACTCCACACCCAGCTACAAACCACAATAGCCTTAGAAGGCTGAATATTTATTGGTGTGGGCTGATGTGGAATAACTTTTTTGTTTTTGATTTTGCTTTGCTCTGTTCATAAATCAGGAGAGCCCTCATTTTTACATGCTAGAAAGGTCCTTTGGATAGACTTAAGAAACTTGCAAAGAAGACGCTGGAAAAGGCTGCTTTCTGTCACTCATGACCAAAGTCCATTTTGCCCCTTCAGCATTTCCATTTCTAAAATAATCTTCTAGTGCACATGAAGGCTGAAGGATGGTCGAGTGATCCAGCGGGCATGTCATTAGGGAAAGTAGTCATTCTGCTTCCCCATCTGGAATAGGTTTTTCATGCTAGAATCCTGCAAGGCTCTGGATGGAGCCCTGATCACCCATAGAAGGGACTGCTTGTCCTGGCTGACCTCCTCCACTCTTCCTCCCTCCCTAGGGCACGTGTTGGAGCCGCGCCACCCCCGGTGCTGGGAATGCACTGATAACACCCAGGCTTTGTGCAGCCCGGAGTTGACATTCAAGGAAAGAGCATTAGGAATGCCTTGAGGAGGCATATTCTCTGAGAGCCATAAATGAGAAGTGCAGTCACAGAGAGCACTCTTCTCTGTTGCAAGAGAAAAGAAAGGAGGACTCTGTTGCCTTTAAGGAACAGGCTTCCAGTTCCACGGAAATGCCGGGCCCTATGAGGAATGGGTGGAGATTTAGGGTGTAGACTGAAATGCACCTGCCCATCCCCTTCCTCTCTCCTTCATTGTCACACCTGTACCCAGCACCGTTACTGGGTCAGTTCTAACGTCTGAGGCTACGTAGGCCTCATAAACCCAGGCCTTGGAATGTTAGCTTTGGAAACTGTTCCTTTTCTGTCTAGAGGAAATAACTCAGCTGGACACAGTGATGTGATGCCAGGCAGTTCACAGGCAAGAATGCAAAGAGAACATACCCATCCCTATCTCCCCATTTCACATACTGTCAAAGGGTTGTTTTAGCTAGCTTCCACACTGATGATTTTACCTATTTTTCTTTATTCATTTTACATTAAAAGCTCCACTTTTAACCTGCTCTTCTCAGTATCCCACAATTCAGCACTCAGTATCAATCACTTCCGTGCCTCTGATCTGGGCTGTGTGGGATGAGAATGGTCTCTGTCTGTCATTTAATGCTGTGACGTAGAATCAGTCTTGTAAATTGATGAGAATGTTCTGTTTCCTGATATTATTTCATTGCATCTTGATTTCATGAAAGATGTTTTAGTTCTATAGAAACTTAATTCTTCATTGTAAGCACAACATCTTAATCTTTGGTGACAACATGAAGGACACAGTTAGAAGCTCCTTCTCAGGGCATCTCGCTCCACAGTCAGGCTGGACGGCTGTTTGTCAGTGGCACGTGGAGCTGTGCTCACCCATCCCAGCCGATAAGAGTGAGCAGCACACAAAACCACATCGCATCTCAACAAAGCACATCACATCTCAGCATAAGCCTATGTGGTAATATACTGGGTGTATTTGTTTCTGCGCCCAAAGAAATCCTTCCTGAGATTTCTACAGGACTTCCTTTGGAAGCAGCATTACTCTGATCAAGTACTGATCAGAGGTTTTCTTGGCTCATTTAGCAGCGACTTACTGTGTCCTTCTGTCATCTCTGTAGCCGCGTTATTATACAGTTAAGTTAGAACTCGATGTGCCCCGAGCAGCAGTGATCTTGCTGTACTCTCTGTATAAGTGACTCATCTGTGAATTATGTTTATGTATTTAATGGTGATTGACATCTGGTGGTTGTATCACAATTTGATTTTGTTATGAACTTTTGCTTTATATATATTTCTGCTTCTTATGCATTTATTAAACAATTTAACAGACCGAGGATGGTGTACTAATTCCATATTAACTTTCTTAAGTTGTTTTTTGGTGTTCCCGCCTAAGTAAGTGCACTTGCTCCTGGTGGGTCATGGCCTCATGACACAACCAACAGGTGAGTCTGACCCCCTGAGCTCCTGCCGCTTCTGCACACGAAAGTCACAATTTCTCACTCATCTGCTTTTTTTCACAAAGACATTGTATCCTTTTCTCTCCACTGATGGCTTGGTAGCCTCGTCTTTCTATTACGACTGTTGTTGTTCTGCGTGATGTTTTTAGTGTTTCTCTCAAAGCACCAGCCTGCAAATGTTAGGGAAATGTGAGCACTGAGTAGACTCCATTTGCCTTTTGTGTGGTCCTGGACACAGACCGCTCAACAGGTGCCGATTGAATGAGTGAGCTCACCAGTGACCTGTTCCCTGTGGTGCTGCCTGGTGAGGATGTGGACAAAGAGTGTGAAAGGAAACTCAAGAAACCCAGATGAGAGGTGGGCTGGCCTCGTAAGGACGACAGTGAACGTATGAGATTGAGGGTGAGCTTGGGGGTGTGGATAAAGTAGGGTAAGAGCAGACAGTTAAAGGATTTTGATGTCGTCTGCCCCTCATCTGTACAACAACACCCACCAGCAGACCCTGTCCTAACTCAACTTCTCCTTTTAAATTCATTTTCATTTTAAGGCATTTGTTTTCCTCAGCATTGATTTTCCTTTGGATACAAGGATTAGTCACCCGGTAACAGGCAATTCTGATGGGTTGACGGTGAGCTTAGCTTCACGTCTGAGGGAATATTTCAACATCAGGGAAAAAAAAAAAAACAACAACACTCAATACCGCTCACGTGGAAATCACAAAGACATTAAGTATTTCCGAACTGTAGAAATTGCCTATTTAACTAATTTAATATCTCTTAGAGTTTTTTTCCATTATGTCTGTCACCACACTCTTAAAACGCTCTGAAATCATCCTACTTCATAAGAAGTAGTGGAAAGAGAGGAAAAAGCTAAAGAAAAGCGAACCCTCCTGCGGGAGCCTGGGCATTCGCGCCTACCGCACAGCGTCTCTTGTAAGGCGGCTCCAGCCTCCTGTCTTCTCCAGCACTGGCGGGAGCCTCCCTGGTTACTGAACTGCTCTTTTTCCCGGCCTTCTGCTGAAGACACTTGGTTTTCTGGTCAGACTGCGCGCACCTGGTCGTGAGGCAGAGCACCTGGCTCTGGGAGGGGAGGCTGCTGATGGGGGTTATGTGGCATCCCCATAACCACCAGTGGGACACCCTTCTGGGGCTGCAGCCTCACTCCGGCCCCGGCCACCTGCCTTCTGTGCAAGAGCATGGCCTGGGCCCCGGCAGGCCAGTGTGATGTATGGAGCGTCCCACCAGCCCTAGAGCCATGTGATGGCTCACAGCGGTGACCCTCCCCAAGAAGCAGGGACATTGTATTAAACAGAAAATAAGTAGAAGATTCTTCTTTGCCCGTTGACCCAGTTTATAGCATGGACTTCCCATTCACCACCAGTGGAGGGGTCAAGCCCGTATGGGGATAGCCAAGCCTTATCAAGACAGTAAACTGCCACAGGCTTGTTCCCTGAGACCTACTCTACAGTGGATCCTCAATTTTCTTACTCTTTAAGCACTGAAACCCAGGGATCAAAGTCATCAATGATTCTGGCTAGTGTAGAAATAGCCTCTGGACTATAAGACGTACAGCTAAGCACACGCTCACCGCAGACTTGCTCTGGAAACCTTGTGTGTTCCCTTTACAACATTTCTAGAATGCACTAACATCTCCTGAGCCACAGCTCCTGTTCATCTCCGTGCACACCCACTGCTGTTAACCTGTTTTAAAAGAATCCATGTCATCTGTAGCCAATATATCACTTGAAACCCATTACCTTGATTTTATCTCTTGACTGCTATAATCTCTCTTTCTCTCTCTCTCCATTTTGCTGAGCATAGTCAAAAATAGACACTTCCTGGGCCGGCCAGGTGGCGCACTGCTACAGTGCGCTGCTTGGGAGTGCGGCGGC